TTAAAAGTGGCATTAAAGAGAAAACTTACGATTTCATCCTGTGATTGTTATCCATATTACTGAGAGATATCAAGCATAACTGAGAAGTTGCATTTCTTTATACATAATTTATTATACACTGCACATAATTTATTACACAGTACAGCTAACTGGACTATAATATTTGTCTTTTCAAAGGGCTGCCGTTTTTTTCCTTCTTTAAAAAATAATGTTTGTGTGTGTGGTGACAAATATTTGCCAAAGAAAAAATAAACCCTTACCTTCTGCAGTTTATACAGTTGTGGTGTCCTCTCCAGAGGCACAGCAGAAATTAATCCAAGCACTGCTATATGCTTTGCCTGCCTAGAGAAACTGTTTTTATCTTCCTTTTGCCAAGCACCAGTGTTAGAGTAGTATCTTCATTTCCCATTTTGTGTCTGTTCAGTAAGAGTTTGCATGGGTCGCTGCATGCCTTTTGCTCCACGTGGCTCCCAGCAGCTTTCTGGCCTGAAAGAGAAGAAACAGTTATTTAGGGGAGTAGGCAGAGGGGCCATATGCTCATTTCTCTATCTTGGATTGTTTGTAGGAGTCAAACGATGGCCTTGAACTTAATGTGGTCTTTGTGCTTGGAGGTGTAGAGGCATTTGTGGCTGCATAGAAGTTATGATCAAGACATCTGTTCTAAGGGATTTCTGGATTTGTTAATGGGACTGCGGCTATGCCTGTACTGCATATTGCGGCGTGCTTAGAGCTGGACTTCTTTTGGTACCTGAGCTTGGCTTTTTCAGTTAGCTGAGTTGTCTTTGCACTTGCAAAGGGCAGCATAAAAATACCCAAAACTAAATGTCTCAGCAGCTTCTAGACACCCTGCCTGAGCCAGCAGAGATAGTTAGCACTATATGAGTTCGGAACACTTTTCAACCTGTGCTAGTAGTGCAAGGTGCACTTCCCTGCCAGCAAGGGGTAAGTGAATTTAACACAGGAAAGAGATTAAATGAGCACTGATTTTAAAAAGTTTTTTTTTAATTGTGGGTGGTGGGGAACGAACAACTAATGAACGTTGATCAAGCTAATCCAAAAAAAGTTCACTTTACTTCCAAAGTTTCATTATCGAGCTCTCTTCCTACCCTGTGGTGCTGGTGCAAGGATGGGCTGGCAGAGTGACTGGGCTGGCTCCCCTCATCAAAAAAAAAAAAAAGCACAACTCATCAGTGGTGATTAGAGCTGCTGCTTGTCAGCATGTGAAGAAAAGAGCTACAATTCATCACTCACACTGTCATGTGAACCTACAGAAAAGTAATTAGCAGGTAAAATGTCTATTAATAGCTCCCACCACCTTTAGTTCAAACACCTGCTGACAAGCTATTACTCCGTGTAGCTTAGCTTCATCAAGTTCTTGTTTTGTGATTGCCAGAAGAGACTCCATTAGAGCCGCTTCTGTTGAGGCGGGGTGTCTCTGAAGAGAGTCTTGCTCCATGGCCTCTCGTTGAGAAAGTGGATGCGTAGACTTGCTTCGCTTTTTGTAATCTCTGAAAGCATGCAGAGATTTCTTTGTGGTTCTTTCAGTGACTGTGAATTTATTTGGGCTAATGAAAGCCTAACTGGTGTTAGTGCCGGCTAAATGCAGCGTAGGGGAAAACAAAGAGTTGTCTCCTTTGCCTGCAATTATCTTCTTACACTGCTTGAAAATAAACGCAGTGCATTTCTAAGAAAACTCATATTGTTAATAGTATATTGTCGCATATAAAGTGTGATTAAACTTGGCAGTTATTATTTGAGCAAGCTTTTTTCCAGTATTAGAACATGCAATTCTTTGTTTGTTTTTAATGTAGGCCAGAAATATTAGTGATAAAGAAAGTGGGGATTTTGTTAGCTTGGCTGCTGGTTTAGGTTCCCTCTACTTGAAGGCTTCAATAAATGCAGCTGCCCAAAAATATATCCTGCCTGAAATTTATCTCTGTAGTTTCCACCCCTGATTTATCTGTCTCATGTTGCAGGCAGAGGCTTTACCGAAATCAGTGCCATTTCTCATGTAGGGCTGAATTTTATGCGTAGCTTAGGTGTTACATTTGTCCCTCAGTGTTTTATTTTAAAGAACACACACACATTGGATGAACATGTGCGAAAATAGACTTTGTATCTGTTAACATTGTCTCTTCCTTGCCACGTATCTGACAGTGAAGAAAAGGCATCTGAAAAAGAGTGTGTCTGTCTGTAGGTGGCCATCACTTGACATGCTAACAAGAGGCCACTAAGCTTTTATAGGAGCTGGTTTTCTGAAGAAGTGTATACACAAATGCAGACTATTCTCCTGTTTTAGAATAAATTTTGAGTATCATTTTGCTCAGTCCGCAGTGTTTGATATTGCAGGTTTTCTTTTTGCTGCGGCATTACTTTCTGGTGGGACCAGAGGCCTGTACCCTGCCTGCCTGCCAGGGCTCCTGCTGTGGCAGGGGGCCACCCAC